TTTTTGTTTTTCGCAAACGATGCTGAACGGACCATAGATTTAGGACCAGTTGATTCCAACTCCTCATCGTTACTTTGTGTATTACCAATATCCGATGGCATATTTGTAGCCAAGTCACTTTGGTTAGTGTTAGTTGTTAGCCTATTATTTGTTTTTTTTGACCTCCTAGGAGTGGAATTCTTACGCATTGGACTTGAAGAAGGAGTTGGCCTTGTTGAACCCAGGATCTGTGATTTATTCGATCCAACTGAGGAATTGTTTAAATCGAGCTGCGGTTCTTGAGAATCCTGTTTCAATTTAATCCTCTTGTCGTTTGCTAGCTTTTTGGTAGAGTTGGATATCGACTCGGTTGAGACATTGATTTCTATGTTTTTTGTTGTGATTTGGTTTTCAATAAATATTGGATTTAAATTTTCTTTTATTACTGTGTCTTTTAGATGTTCATTTGACTCCTCGGTACGTGATACGGCCAGATCAACGGGGTATACGAGTACGGATGTTGACTCACCACTCATACCTGAATTCATTCTAATCCTCGAATTCGGCATACATAATTGACAAACCCAAATTCCTAAAATGCACGATAACATTTTTTTTTACTTTTGTTTCAGAGTCGCACATATCACTTAATGGATATGTCTGTTACCTGGAGGGGTCCTATCGAGGGGTGGATCGAGACAGTATATGTGGTAGCCCCTATCGCATTGATCACAAAATAAAAGCTTATACTAAAAAACGAAAATTAAGTGAATATTTCCGGTTATTCTTTTTGAATATATGATGGGATTTTATAACACAGTTTCACCTTTTCCATATTGTTTACACATACATCTCTTCCCTTTTTTTTACAATGATTGCAGGTTTTGCAATTTGCACATTGCCAAGCATAAGTTTTTGCATTAGCAATCAGATCGTCGGTGTAAGATAAACAAGTTTGGTGTGCTGTAAATTAGTATAGTATAAAATATTAAATCGACACTAAAACATTGTAAAGAAGAAGAAAATAAATCTCCCATAACAAACCTCTGTCGCCGCAATCGTCGCAGATTAAGCCTTTTTCAAGGTTTTCTTTTTTTTTACAGTGAGAACAAATGTCTTTAATGATTTTTCCAACCTATTATTAGTTTGAAATTTCCGAAAATCATGCAATCGTGTGAAAACAATTATCTATGAATAGTAGAAGAACTCACAAAAAAGTTCTTTTGATTCCCTTACTTGCTGGTTTCTTCGCGGTTTTCCGCTTGCCTTTCTCCTTTGAAGGGTCGACATCAGTTGAAAAAGTTACATTGGTTGCGATACGTACATGTAAGTAACGTAATTTTTCGTGTCTACGTCATTATATGTAAGATTT